TCTTATGTACCATGGTGCATCAACGATACTACGAAGTACTTTATTCTGGAAGCGCTGGATGACGTTTCTATTGCTCTGTTTGGTGCAGCCCCAAATTTGAGAAAACATGCGAAAAAGTTTCACGCAGATAAATTAAAACAATTGACTCCTCGCAATGTGAAGTCACAAGGTCTCCGTTATTTCATGTGGCACAATTTGTAGCGCGGTCGCTTGTAGATCAGCAAATATAGCTTGTGTCGGCTCTGTTTCACTTTTAATCAGTAGACATAATATGATAATAATTTGTCAATTATTCCGATGCTTTCTGCATGCTACTTGAAATAAATAACTAAAAATTGATCTCAACGTTAAAAACATTTTATCAGTTACTTATAGATATTACGATCACCTTAAATAACCAGAAATTGATTCAAACGGACTACAGAGACCGTAACCATGCGTCAACACTCCCAGCTAGAGAGTAGTCGTTGGGACCTAGACTCTCCTTTCTATCTTACCTGATGCCCATGGTCATCTGGTAAGCATTCACCCAATGGCCGTATCATACTGGAATCACGACTTATCCTATCCCTATCAATATGTTCTTCTTTGTCAGCCATTGTGCCCAACGAGTTCTGTAGTTTACTGAAACCACTAGAGCTGAAATAGGAATTGCAATCTTCAGAAGACCTGCCCACAAGATTCGGTGGTAGCTTGCCGACAAAAGATGTGACATTAGAAGAATATGATCCAGTTGGTGAGGCGTTGAAATTGGTAGGCAATGGGGAAGATTCTAAAGGTGTGTTGGAACGATTAAGAGGAGGAGATTGGGTACTTGGTGGAGAGGATGAGGGGCTGGATTCACTGGAAAGACCAGGGGATGGGTAAGTATCTGAATCTTTAGCTGAAAAAAAAATTCGCCATTTTAGTTTGAAAGAAAACGACTATTTAAATAATTAAATATTAGTCAGATGCTACCCGTAATACGAAAGATAAAAATAATTTTGTAGTGGATTGAAAAATAATGGATTAGCATAAACTACTTTATTTTAATTTACGATTATATAATAACGATTTATTTGGACGGCCACGAAATAACTATCGGACGTGATATGTTATCTTATCAAAAAACTTTAACGGCACAATACCAAATAAATCGACTGTTCATTAATTATAAAAATTAAATATGAGATATTTAATGATACCTCAAGTATGGTGGCAAAAGATGAATTTACTATTTATTAAAGTGAATTTACATTTCTAACGCAACAAAAATTTAAACATAAAAAAATCCCTGATAATTACGACATTCCTGCTTTATAAGAAGGGCGATAAAAAAGAACTACAGAGGAATAATTATACTGTCGTTCACTCTAAGAGCTCTTTTACACAAGGATACAGTTGCCCGCTGATTCGTGGCAGACCGAAATCTCCGATGCCATTTACATTGCGGGATACTCATCGCAGACAGCAAAGTAGTAGCCGGGTTCTCATAATTAGCAAGTCCATAAAGGCCCATAGAAAATCGGCCCCGGAAGTCGTAAAATTGCCTGAGCGTCTGGAACTCACGGCTGATCGAAATTCAGTTGCCGAAACTGATTGTGAAAAGTATCCCTGTGTGTATGGTTCCATACATGGCTGTATGTTAAACGAGTATCCGAAGCCATAGTTGCCGGGTAAAAGTATCCTCGTGTAAAACGGCTCTGAAACTAGTCACTAAAGTGATAACGAATGTAATAAACGAACGAATTACATTATCTGCGGGTTTCGATCTGAACGATTGTGTACGGACGCAGTGTTTGTTCTTAGACAGATAACCGAAAAGTCGATAAAGTATGATCCACGTTTGGAAGATATAGTGCATCTCCAGAGTGACAGACAAATACCGAGTAATATCATTAACAGTAAATTGAAGATATTTACGGATATACCTGAATACAGGAAAATATATACAACGAACTCATAGAACCAATAATCGTAAAGAGGGAATGCGACAAGGAGACTCAATGAGCCCATTACTATTCAACATTATTATGAACGAAATAATAAGTCAAAGTTGTAGGAAAAGATTATATCGAATGAGAGGTCGAAAGGTAGAAATCCTATGCTACGTTGAAGATGCAGTTTTAATAGCGGAAAATGAAGATGGTCTGCAGAGGCTTCTTTGCACATTTAACACAAAATCGCTCGGGATGACAATATCAATATCTAAGACAAAATGCATGACCACATCTAAAACACCTCCGTGATGTAATTAGTAGTCGATGACAAGACACTACACCAAGAGATGAAATTGAACCAGAAGTAAGAACACAAGCTATCAAAGCAACAACACAATAGCCAATAGAACCGATCCTTCATTCCTTCGTTCCGCCCTACGCTTTTAGTATCAACAGGATTTTAATTACTTTGGCCCGTATTTATAAACGATACTGAAGCCGATACTCAGCTCATGCTTCGCCAAGTACGAGATAGTTCTCAACCTAGAGAGACGATTTATAAACAGTACTTCGTGAATTATCGGTCGAGTATAGGATTTTAGAGACTTTCGTATTTATTTAGTAATTTTATATTGAGACTGTTGGTAAACTTGGCGAATCTAAGATGGCGTCAGTGTTACTATGTATTTTGAATCGCTGAAAGACTTGTACCACGAAGATCACCGGACACAAGCCACAATATAATATCTATATCTACACTTTATGTAAGAAAATAGACATGGAATTATAGAAAATTTGCTACTTGTTGCATAGAATCTATAGAATAGAAAACTACTTGTTGCGTAGAATCTTAAACATACCAGCAATTGAGTAATGGGTGATATTTGATATTGGTAGTCCACAATTATCAGCTTTCCGCCGATTATTATAAATAAAAATTATTAAAATTATTGAGGTTTTTTATTGCATTTAATTAATTAATTTAAAATGCATTTTTTGTATACATTTACCGCTGGTGGTACAATTGGTATCATCAGCGCAATTCCACCAGCATAATTCAAATTTATTGCTTCGTTTGCTTCCTGAGGCGAAAAATTGCTAACATTCAGTTTCAGTTTAACCAATAGACCGATAGTTGAAAATAGAAAAATAAAAAAATAGTACTTAGATTTAAGGAAAAGTTTAATTTTAGTTATTTCAAAAGACGACGGATTGGATATGCTTTTTTATGATCTGTGGCGAAAAGAGGCTTTTTTATCAATTCGAATAAGATACAATTTCTAAGTTTGTTTATGTTTATATTGCATTTAATTAACTAATTTTGATCATAACGCCATTGTAAAAATAAGCACGAAATTGCCTACATATGTTCGCAATTTTTTCAAATGAGATCTGCAGCTTCTAACATTTTAACTGTCAGGGCGAATAGACAAATAAAGCCATCAATTGAATTAGAAAATGAAACGTAATGCTCCCAAAAGTCGCCCGCAAGCAAGTGTCCAGTCTCCCTCAACAAATCAAAAAATGCCGATGCGAACCTTATGTTTGTTTGTTCTGCGCTTGTCAGAACCGCTGGTCCTTCCTTTAATCCTAGAATGCCAGATCGAGAATATCAACGACTGGGTGCTGAGTAGAAAAATTGCATGCAATGACCGTGTCACGTCGTGAAGATTGCCAGAGATACATCACCTCCCAGAGGCGAAGCACAAGAAGGCCACGAAAACGTTGCAGTGACAATCTACCTTCATAAAGCGAGTTACGATGAATAACAGGCATTGCGCCTAATTGGAAGAAATATGAGGTGTCCGCCTGATTTTGCTAGCTGGTCTTTGATTAACTTGATTCTTATAGATCACGCATTTCTGACTTAACATTACGAAAAATAAGAAGCATTCTACAAGAACTTATTGAACAAGAAATAGCTCTTTGTGTCTCAACAACCACTAAAAAAGTATGATTGAATGTACAAATCCTGTTAGGAACTCTAATGCAACCACCGTAATTCTGCAACAATCGGATTTTGCAAAAATCTTCTTGTCGATTTTATACGTGAAACAAACCTCATCAAAAATAGTTAGTAGTTATTTAACAATTTGGCAGTTTGCATTCGGCTTTTTTTAAAAAATTATAAGATAACTTACCTTCAATTTTACAACAATGGCTACTGTTACTACTTGTACTAGTTGTCCTACTGTCTTGGGATGATCTACATTCACTACTACTGCTATTTTTTCCTTCCTTCTTATCCTTTGACCTTGACTCTGCATTGTTTTTCGTTTTTCCTTTCCTAGGTTTGTCCTTCTCTTGCTTCTTATCCTTATCCAATTGCGGCCAATTTTCTTTGTTTGTCCCCGAACTGTTTGTGCTGTCTTTCGATGTATTACTACTGTTATTCGCCTACAAAATCTAATAAAATATACCCGAAATCAGTTAAATATAAACTTACGTCTTTCGCAACCTTCGCTGTAGAGACCCCTTTTATTTCCACTCCCTGCCCGTTTTGAGTTTTCGTTCGCGCCAACAGATCCTCATGCAGCTTTTTCTCATATTCCTGGTGCTTCCCCAAGTGCATTTGCTCGCGGGTAAAACTAGCTTCTGGGTCACCTTGAAACAAATCAATAACATTTACAGAAAAACTAATTGCTCACCGATTAATGCATGAGAGTTATTTACAAATGAAACACAGGCAGTTCCGACCAAACTGATCAAATCTGGTAGAAATTAAATACAATGAAGCCCTCAACAGTTCCCCTTTACGCTTTATTGAAAACTTAGTTTTTTTCGGCTCCAATACAAACAATGGAATTCCATTTAAATGTGGCCAATTTGGCCCATCTACCAAATATTTTACTTTACAATCTTAACCGTTTGTCGTAACAAAAATGCAAGATATTTTTTATTTGTAATAAAACTAGGAATTTGAAAAGTATTTACGATAATTAAAAAATACAGAGGCAAACCATTTTTTTCTTTAACAAATTCGGTAGCGTGCAGTTTTCAATTTTTTTTTGCAAAACATGCGCCTTTCCTAGCTATTTATTGCTGGAAAATTTCGTTAAAATAATACCATGCGAGTTAAAAAAAAATTTTTTGTATTTTGTATTTTTTAAATTATATTTCACCACCCTGTAAATCCGCAACGAAGAATTTTTAGGCTATCGTTTATATGAAAACTAGGATTATTTTCGAACCTAGTTTACGTGGTAAAAATAATGCAACTTCCTCATGAAACACCTTGTATATAATAAAAAATACATTATTTTTTTCTAATTAAATCGGGAAAACGTTTTTGAGCACGTGTCAAAATTATATGCGTTTGGTAATAAGTACGATATTCGCAGATTCAGAGAGAGACATCAATCGGCGGGTGCTAAGAATCTCCGGGTTGGACCAGGTCGCCAAGGAAAACGAAACCTAGAGGACGATTTAAAATTGGCGTTATTCCTCTGGGGTTGTTGTTTGGGAGTACAGGAAAAATGACAAAAAAAGTTGTTATTAAAAACTGAGATATTTGCAAAAAACTAGATCAGAAGGATGACAACAATGTTTTTCAAGGTAATCTGCCTAATTAACACTAGAACTACCAACCGGTCAATGTAACCGGTTTCAAAAATTCTTCACAATACTTTTATGTAAAACTTTAGATACTCATTATGTTTTGAATGTCATGACTTTTTTTAAATATATGTAGTCATTATAACATCATATATTTCTTCTTTCCCCCTCCCCATATTTCTTGAGTTGCGTATGCAACATACCTAAATATTTTCAAGAAAGTTGAAGAAATTTTCAAAAGAAACGTCGAATTTCGATTACACTAAATTTTAGGCTAAGAAAGTATGTCTTCTAAGCACAAAGCACAATGTGTCAAAATAAACCTTAATTCAAAAAAGTTCCCGAAAGTGTAAAATTTTATAACAAAACTAAATACAGGGTAGACGTAATGGACCAAATGGCTAGAAAGTACAGCACAAAGTTAGAATCTCAAAGGTGGCCTTTTCATGTATTCTTCAATATCCTACATTTGGCTGCAATAAATGCATGGACAGTATATCAAGAAACTACAAGACAAAATATCTAAAAAAATATTTTTGTTTCAACTGGCAACAGAAATTTCTACGCAAAATAAGAATCCATTTGAGCTACAAAACTGCAAAACTGTATTTATTTATTGAACCACTCTCAAAAATCGCAAACACGAAAAATTTGACATATAGGGTTATGTAATGCAAATAAAACAAAGAATATTTTTACCTCAAAATTTTGTAGAAAAATGACCTGTGCACAATGCTTCAATAAATTTGTTGAATTACATTTAATACTTTGCAACCACAAGTCAGAACAGAACAGAACATTAATAAACTGTGTGTCAGCACAGAAAATTAATAAACAACCTGAGATTCGCCAATGATACCACTATAATGGCTGAGAGTGCAGAAGATCTTCAAACCCTGTTAGAGAGAGTTAAACGAGAATGTAAAGAAGTAGGACTCACTATAAATACCGAAAATCTCATGGTTATAAGTAAAATCCCAAACACTAACCTTCTCTCACATTAAAAGGAAAACAAAAATATAAATATCTCAGTCGGCAGGAAGAAAATACCCTGGCTCCGAAACGTAAGGGAATGGACAAATCTCAACGTCGAAGAACTGTTTCATGTTGCAAGAGACAGAGACGCATTTAGAAACGTTTTCGCCAACCTTCAATAAGAAGACAACATGAAAGGCGGAGGAAGCACAAGTCATACGGTCATTTTGAGCGGTTGGTAAAAATAGGTCATATTGATGGGCTGGGAGCTCTAGTTGCTTCTTAATTATTAAAGATTGTAGTAACCATGGGTAAACACAAAATAACTAAGTTCAATTACAATGAAACATTTTGAGTTTAGGATAAAGTTGTCACTTTGCCGCTAGTCCTGCCAACCTTTTTGGGGCAAATGAGTGATATACCTAAATCCATCATAGCTGTCAACAAAATCTCAATTGGAATAGAGCCACAACACCACAAACAACATCAACAAATAAAGTACAATTAAGTGGTTAAATCGCATGAGATGTTCCAAGTTCAGCCCGTTTAACTCCAAACATGTTTGTGCGTGCCCGTATCACATCACTTGTGCACTCTTGGCAGCAGTCCGGGCTCACCTATTTTTCTCGTTCTCTCCAAGTGAGCCCCAATAACCCCTTAAAAGGAATGGCTCCAATTTTGAATCACCCTCTATATATCGTGACATACAAGAACCCGTTCACACCACGAAAGAATATTTGAACTGGAGGAAGAACTTAAACAGGTACTCTAGGATGTGCTTGGAATAAGCGAAATTTGCCCGAGAATAACAACTACTAAAAGCAGGAAATATGGTCTGCCACAGATGTACCGAAAATAGTTCTCTGTGAGGGGTAGGACAATTTATAAGCGACATGTGCCCGATATAATAAAAGAATTCAGAATTCAATCAGGGAATTCAGAAGAAAGAGGTTCAGAATTAAATCAGGGATCAATGTCCACTGGCCTCCTCGTGATGTGCCCCGGGCAACATGTCTCTTGTAAGACTGGCGTCTCCGGACGAGCGTGGGAAGGGGCCATATGGTAACAGCGCGTGGGGTCCGTCCACAAACTGCAATCCGAAGTCTGTCATCTTGAATGAGATTAAAGCAGCCTATTTACAAGGCAATCTACATTGTGCCAATTTTAACGGCCTTCCGCTATCCTCTGCAATTATCAGTTCTTTTTCTGATCAAGACTGGACACGTCAGTAAATCGTATGATGTTTACCTATCTATATATAAAGTACCGTGGACAGCCTTCAACTCAGTCAACAGTCATCAAACTCTTTCTTCAGCTTCCAACTTTTATTCACCTCGGTATAACTTTAACTACGGAACAGGAACAAACTAACTTCTAAACTAACGTCAACTTCACAAACAATAACAATAACAAACGGAAAACACGCGTTTCCTACTCGCGGGGTTTAACCTCTTCTGCACTCAGGCGCGGCTGTCACTTCACCTTCCCGTCTGGTTCTCGTCGTCGCTTATATAGTTTTCTCCAGGTATCCCAGATAGTTCTCTAAATCTCCAGAACAGGTGCGAAACTTCCCGCTTGTCAGTGTCATATTTGACAGTAAATGGGGCCCAAATGGGGCGCCCATTTACTGAAATACCATGAATTTCGATCCCCCATTCCAAACGTGTGTACCCCAGGCCATTTCCGTTACAATATTTTTATAAAATTAAAGCCCATGGGTCTAATTCCTTGATTAAATTGAAATGGGAAAATGACCTTCTTTTCAAAAACCCATGTTTTGACCAGTATTTTATTTTGAATTTATTCATATCTGCTGTTAGCGCTGAAGAACCGCGATATTTTGACGCCTTGAAGGAGTCATATGTTAACGCACAGATCAAAACAACACTGATAAATTGCTACGTCTGGCGGATAGACCCAATTTCTGTACAGATTGAACCCTGAAGATTGCCGTGTGAGTAGACCGCTTTAATGTTAAGTGTTGTTCAAAGCGCCGCGTCATAAGAGGTCAGGTGACACAACACACAAGTCTCTTAAGACACAGTATTACCCAGGCTTAGTTACTGCCATGAGACGAGTAATATTTCTCACTATTGCAACGATGCCAGTTTCCAGTTTCTTAAACTGCGTTTTACCAAACGCAGTTATGGAATCGCTGGTGAAAACGACGTGGCGCTAAACGAGTTTAATTTAGGTTATTACCATAAACCTAGTTTCGTTAAACGTTCAGTTTGTTTGTGGTGAAAATCGGCCTAAGACGTTCGCTACCGAGGTTTGCCAATTTTGTGGGGGTGGATAAGATTTCACTATAAACTTGCTAAGTCAGCATTGATCAATCATAAAACTGACATGACTACTAATATACAGGGTGATACACAAACATTTTCGTAATTTGAAGTAAATATGGTAATGTTTCTTTTCAAATGCTTCGATATCTCAATAAGCTACCAATCAAATATAGAATAGTTTCAAAATAATCCTTCGATAAACTATCGAAATAATTCGTTGAAATTCGATTTTCAAAAATATTTTCCAATATTTTCAATCCTTAAAAGAAGTGACGCCAATTTTGAATCACCCTGTATGTTAATGTTGCTCATTCTGATGATTTATATGTACCAATAACAATGTCTAGCCGTTATGTATGAATATTAAACATTTCTTGCAACTTACCATATTCATGTAAATACATGCAATCTGGTTTGGGACAAGGTTGGTTTTTCAAAAAGTGAGAACAGTACTTGGTGGTGCCGAGACTAGATTTTATTGATCTATTATCTATTGTAAAGTTGTTGACAGCCTGAATGGCTCTCAATGCATCGTCACTCTTTATATACGTCACATAAGCACCTAAAAATGTATTGATGTTGTTAGTTGGATTGGGGCTTCTGAGGTAAAAATACAGCAATGCAATATGATACCTACTCGCACTAGGTCCCTGCGAACCAGCATAAGATGTTGATTGATTTATCACCACCTTATGTATTTTCCCAAATTTTCCAAAATACTCATGTCTCTTTAGAATTTCCGGATCAGCTAACCTAGGAGGAAGACCGACCACGAACACCTAAGTTGAAGAGACATATTAAGCGACAAGGAACAATAGACAATATTTCATTTCACGGGGCTAAAAAAATGTACACGTACCAGGTTTCTCTGTACTACCCTCACACTGGACAAGTGCTTGCGACTCTCAGTAAGTTTGGCTTTGCGCTGTTGATCCCGTTGCCTCTTATCTGCTTTCATCTTAGCCATCTAGTTTACAAATTAGATCATTTAAAACAAATACATACAATTAAAAGAAGTCGTATTAAACACATTTTAATATTATAATATATCAACAAAAGTAAAGTATGAAAGCATAAATTATTAGCTCCATAACCGCGGAAGTTATGGATTCTTGCACGAAATTTTATTTCTTTATTACTCGCAAAATTATGCTTTCTAACTACGTTTGCGCCGCCTAACGGCATTGACATATTTCTAGACCATTGTTTCTCGAAAATCTTGTATGTTACTTCATATTTAGCTTTGCTCATGGCCCTATTTACTACACTGGGTAAACTCGAATATCAAACTACCGAAAAATCATTTTTTTTGCTCCCTTAACAGAACAGGAATATGAATAGATTAAATAATCAATAGGTAACACGGAAAATTTTACAAAGTTGTTTGCAACTTAAGACACTAAACAGCAAATTTTCCTTCTAAAACTAAACAAAGTGTCGTTGCAAAATTAAGCAATTTCGTTATTATGCACATTGTCTAGTCAAGGTGAAGATTAAACATATCTAACACTCAGATTGTTTAGCGCGTACGGCAATTTGCAGATTTCCTGAAATACCGTAGTCAATGTGCAAATTGCCCAAAAGAGTAGCGATTTTACAAAATACATAGGCATTTTGAACATTTTCGGAAACATATATACAGAGTGTTCCGAAATTAGGTGGCTGAACTGAAACAGGAGAATCTCATATCGAAAATAATACCGTTTCTAAACAGCTTCAGAAGTGGTTCAATAAGCTAGTTTTGTTGAATTCATTCCTATACGGTTGGTACCTATTTGATAATTTTTTGGCTTAATCTAGATCCGAAGTGAAAACTCGGTCATGCTGTAATTATAGCTTTATCACTTGGGGATTTGAGACTTTTTGACTCATTATTTTAAAGTGTTTTTCACAAATTAATACACACACTTTCCGAGCAAAATTACTTTGAAAATAATAGTTAGATTTTAATTAAACATTTCTTGAATACCATGAAACAAAAATAGTTATTATTGTGATCCAAAAATGAATAAAATTCCTTGCGAATTGCAATTTCGTGAGATTTCGCACTATGGGCCCAATTAAGAAAAATAGTGTCAAAATAAGATATCGCCTCTTAGAAATTCCTTAATGGCCTGAATTTTTTTCAAATGTTGGTAGACTGATATAGATTAGAATTTTCGATATATGAACTCGTATATAAAATATGAACAAGATAATAAATTAATCATATCCATATCATTTTTTTCAACAAATAATCTGATTCCTATATTTCTTCGGAACAGATCTTAACCCCTAAAGCACGTATTTTTCCCCTCTACTTGTAAATGTATTAGTAATGTAAAAAATTTACCAGGAAGTTCATATACATAGTATGTTTGATTTCAGTCAGAAGTTCACAACTGTCTTTGCACTTTTCGTGCAACAACTGTCATAACCTCGAATACAATTTTGTACACTCTCAAATTATTCTCCCATATATCCATTGATATGTAGATAATACTCGATTTTTGGGATGTGAAGGTCATACCCACGTGTGGGCGGATACATTGTGGCATTGTCAATAATTTTCTATTAATCTGTGTCAATCTATCAACATTTTTAAAAAAAATCAAGCCTTTAAGTCATTTCTGAGAAGGCGCTATTTGATTTTGACACAAATTTGCTTATTTGGGCCCACAGTGTGTCGCCTGGTCGGTTAATGAACAAAAGTCAAGGAAAGGCAAGGTGCAGTCAAAGATTGAGACAAATATTCCGGATCCAGATTGTATTTATAGCTTTTCTAAAGTATACCCTAAATGGCCTAAATACTTGCTGCAAAACTTACATTGCTTTTAGGTACATTTTTTCAAGCGACTGCCAGACAAATCGCCAATATTTAATACTGGTAATAAATTATCTAACTTTGACTAAAAGTTGGTTACTAATGCAATATTGGGTTACCTGCTCCTGGGTAAGAGGGATAAAGTCCGCAGGATTCTCCGAGTATGGCTTACGGCATGCAGGACACAAACCCCCGTTCTCGTCATGACGAATACGATGCCAACAGAAGCGACAAATCTGCAAAAAATAAATTAAGTACTGACTGTGGCGAAAGGTGTCGTTTTTCGAACGACGATGACGTTCGAAAAAAAAGAGAATCTAAAAATGCAGTAATATATAGGGTATTTAATTTTAAAAAACAGAACTATGATACTTTTAGGGCTGTTGGAACACCCTGTACATTACAAAAATATTGTTAAAATGTGCGCCCGGTAAGCGCCTGCCAATTTATAAAATAATACTTTTTAAACACCAATGTTATTCAACTTATACTGAGGAGACATCATAAACAGAGCACTTTCAGGGGCGAGATATAGGTATTAAAATAAAAGGCATTCCAATAAACAAATTAAGATATGCCGATGATACGGTTGTAATTGCAAGATCTTCAGATACTAATTAACAGAATAGTAGAATGCAGTAAAGAATGCTGATTATCACTTAACATCATCAAAACAAAAGTAATGGTAATATCTAAATCACCACCAAACTTCCATAACATAATCGTACAGTCAAAAAAAAATGGTCATTTACTAAAATAAAGGTGTTCTGCGGACAAGATATACGCCTTAAGCTTAAAATTCGCCCTGTGAGATGTAACGTGCTCCCGATTCTTTTCTACGGAATGGAAGCGTGGACATTGAAAAAGATCGACACCCAGAGGATAGAAGCATTTGAAATGTGGATGTACCGTAGAATACTGAGAATATCGTGGACAGAGAGAGTGGCAAATGTGGAGGTTTAGCGAATAATTATAATGGGCAAAAGGTTCATAGAAGAAGAAGGAATTTACTTTGTCAAAATATCGCATATTATTGTGCCAAAAGAGCGATTTGGGAACCATATTAAAATGTAGTGAGTCTGTTAGGGAGCCGATATTTCAAGAGTTTAATATTAAAAATAAGAAAGTTGTACAATTGGTGTCGCTGTCCGATCTTGAGACAAAGTTATATAATGGAAGAAGGCCACTTAAGAATAGCAAATTGGATCATGTGATGAGTTTAGCAAAAAACTATATCCTTTAGTGTGACCTATGGTTTTACAATCAGATCGGGGAATACCATAAGTCTTACGTAGAGCCTTATGTTGATTCTTCTGTGACAGAATTTAGCAGCTGTGAATAAAAAATTTCGACCCGGTGTTGGATTTATTACTCTATTACTATTATTTATTTTTTTAAAAATTTTTAGCATATAAATAATGTTGAATGAATAAGAAATAATGTTGCTTATATGTATTCCTTGATCAAAAATGTACAGCGTATTGTAGTTTCTTAAGTTTTAAATCGTTTCGCTTACAAATAAATCGTTTTTTTTTGTTTCCTGCAAAATGAGCAACAATGAACTTGGTCGGTTATTGCATTGAACCGTTCAATTGGAGGGACCAACTTATCGGACGAATTCATACAGCATTTGATAAGGAAACCAGTATAAAACACTACATCGGGAATTATTTTTCTAGGCTACTAAGACGACTTGGTAAATTCAAACCTCGCATAGGTATGTTTGTATCTACTGTCCATTATGATTGTACGTGATATATTTTGTATTGTTTCATTTTTCATTTTTTACCATTGTTGACTGTACTGTACTTATGTATTATATGTTGTAGTATTTTTTGGTTTTTTACTAGCTCTGTTCACAAAATGTGTTAATTTTTCTGTGGCAATAAAGCATATTTTGATTTGATTTATAGGAAAAAGGAGTTTATTTTCTTCTTAAAATTACTCTCATAATTCATAAACGAATTATCTCGAATAATTGGGGACACTCCTCCATATTTTTTATAATTTTCGATAACATCCCCATGCTCAACGTTCCATATTTTGAACACCGTATATACCCACAAATAATAGTTTAGTAGTATAAGTATAATGTTTTAACTCTGTCTTATGCGGATGAAAGCAGCAGATTAATGCTATGTAAAACAAATAATGCAATTTTCTATAAATTTTGCTGTTCAAGTCAAAATGTTTATAAATAAGTACATGATAAAAGTTCGAGCTAGGTGTCTATTGTCATTAGAAAATTCGCAACTGAAATAATGGGTGATACCATTAACTTAATTAAAAACATTCGAACGTTGCGTACATCCTAATTGTACCTTACGTGTAACCAAAACGATATGTTTGAAAATACTTTGTTACAACACAAAACCTAGCCAAGATCAAATTAAACTGGATTATAAGTTCAATACCCATACAGGGAAACTGATTTATAAGGCGTTAATCATTATGATATCAATTATTCTAGAAAGCAAGTGAAACTAGGTTTTATGTACTTAATTTTATTTACCTGATAACCACACGTGCACGGAAAGAAATTCAAATCATCAACTTCCAAGGACTCCATGCACAATGGACATTCCACCTGCTCTTCACCACTCTGATTCAACACTGACATCTTAGTTATTCACGAAACTTTCTGCGATCCAAAACAATATTGTTTAGCCTATGGAAAAAAAGACTGTTTATTTCTCTACGGATGGAACTAGTCACTAGACAATAGAATAAGTACTGTATTATCACTCTTATCTGCATAATCACAAGATTATTTATTAATTATTAATTGTTTACGAACAATTATTGCAGAATAAAATAATGGAATGTGTGTAAGAACAAAAGAGGTTTCCTGTTGAAAACACATTGAGGAAGTTGTTGGACAAGTTGTCATGAACACTGGAAATAGGATTTCCAATTAAGTGCAACAAAACGTTGAAGAGTATGTAAAATATGGGGAACACTGTTAGAATTGATGACCTAGAATGATGGATAGGGTTTCTAGTATTTAACATGACATGATTCTTGAAATCCTTTGTTCATCTTGAACGTTTTCAATTGCCAAAGAACATAGAAGTCAAATATAAATTAAACTCTGCTTGACCTAGAAAGGACTATTGAACTCCTTAAAACTCCTTCAGGAAACGCGTTTTTTGGCAAGAATCACCATAAAATTAGATAAAACGTCAAAAAAAATCGTAACATCTGTCAAAGTGTTGCCTGAATAAATTTGTTTCCTCAAGGCTCCCACAAAACTAATGGGAAATGGAAAAATGTTCAAACTTGCTGGTTTTCGAGTTTTCACCTGCCAAAACATGGTCCGAAGTCGAGAGGCAGAACCATTCCTTATAAGTACAAATAATTTCAGAGAAAAACTGTTCTATGGTTTTTATGCAATAACCCTAGAGATCGTTTTTGGCAAAACTCAACAGTCGAAGTATAGATTTAATACACAAACTTACGCACAGAATTCCGTAGTTTTCTATTCTATTCAAAAACTCGCAAAAATCACAAGTGAAACGTGGAAATCCTTGTATTTACTTACTTTAAATTTCTGATTAGACAGTTACCAATATGGCGACTTTGATCTCTCAAATCCTTGCGCGGTGATCGGCGCACTGTTTACGTTCGAAACTGTTTGATTCGATTTTTTATTTCTAATGTTCTCCGAGTAACTAAATTATATCTATCTCGCACTAACACGTGGCTTAATATATAACCTTAAAAATTGGGCTATCTATCTGGGACAGTCATCTGCTAAAACGAATACTACTTTGAAGATCCACTGAGCGGAATGCGGACACAAAACTTCGATAGGTTCACGTGACTAACGTGGGAATTTCAAATTTAAACTGCTTTTTTTATATTTGAAAGTCTGTGCTTTTAGGATTAAGGTACATTTACTTAAATAATAATTAAACACTTAATAAGTCAAATTATGTAATTAATACTTTAATGTACAACAGGATTTAAGGGCTCTGCTTTAATGGTGGACAGATTTAGCCTATTGTCTACATCTTCATCAATTAATCCTATGATAGCCCTAAAAAAATAAGAGTAAATAGAACAACGAAAAGTACCGAAACAGTTTGGAAAACATACAATTTTACATATATCACAGTGCCGTATTTAGCTCAGTAACATTTGTAAAGGAAATTAAAACTCTTGCTTATAAGTGGATAAACATACCAAAAGTATATCACTGGCACGTAGTATGCATAAGCAACTTAAACATATGAAAACGAAGGATAAAAATGTCTGATTAATTGATATTCTCTAAATTGTAGTTCGTGAAATTATAGATTAGCGGCCTCGAAAACCAAGCGTTTCTCAAAGGTGAAAAACAAACGCTATTTAAAATAAAATAGGCTCAACGCAATTCGAATACTGGAAAAACAATAGTGGCGTTCAGGCGTTGTTTTTCTTCTAACAAATTTTAAAACTATACAAATTGTACGAAAAATTGTGGGCATGCTTTCGGATACATGTGCAGGTTGTCCAAATACTACAAGTTTGTATACATTTTTTCCTAAAGATATGTACATGGTGTTTCCTCATAGGTTAACAGCCCCATAGATCAATTATTTCAAAAAATAATGAAAAGTAAGAAATACAAACCCTGTTTATTATTACTCATATTTTCAAAATCTAAAATTTAAATTTAAAAATTAAATACGTAAATGTCAAAATTTTTGTTGACTTTAATTTTTGTTGTAAAGATATGCTTTGGCCGCTTTCAAATCAAAGTAGCCTTGAAATACGACCAACAAAAATCAAAGAGAAAGTAGCGATATTTACTATTTATGCTGCTATAGTTAAAACTATAATAAATAAAAACAATAAGATTAAAATTAGTGTTTCTCTATATGACCTCCATTTCGCTCTATATTTTCTATATTCAATTGCACGTTATCTAAAACATTTTGAATATAGTATTTATGATTCATATTAATCTTGTTTACTGCATCCACTATTCTAAGGCGTAAATGATTAACATTTGTAACTGACTTTAATACACAATATTTTTAATAACTTTAGAAAAAAGAATCAATAGGCGTTAAGTCGGGGCTATTGGATGGCCAAGGGATAAGACCAGCTCGTCCAATCCAGATATAAAAATGTTATTTAATAATTCTGCTACCGAGCGAACGTTGTGAAGTGCATAAATTTTAAATTATTCATCTTTATTAACAATTTTTGTTTTCTTTTTCCTTCTAATAACCTGCTATTCGCAAAATCGTTATTCTATGTTATTAAATGTGTATCGAGATAATCACAATGATGAGATGATGCCTGTTCTTCGTTTTGGTAGAATAATCGCAGAATCCCGCATTGCTTAGCAAAATAGACATGCAACAAAATAGTGCAAATAAAAATTTACACCCTAAAAAAAATTGTATCAAATTTAGACACTTAGGCGCCCCGAACATACTAAACACGTCGTATTTTGTACAGAGTTAACGGCTGACTTAATTGCATCACAATTGCAAACTGCTGAATGGATTAAATATATTAAAGCGAATTTTAGTAATGAAATAATTTTGATGCAAACAAACGCCTCAAGTTAAGTACTGTACAGAACGCAAATTTCCATCCCGTATACAAACTCGTGACCGGAGTCACAAAGTCGTTAATCGAATAATTAAGTAAGTTGAATTTACGCTTGAAAAGATTCAAAACAATTGAATTCATATTCAAATGCGGTTATCACGCAAATGGCACTAATTCTCCAAATATTTTTTCCACAAATTAAAACTTTTTAAAAAATCGAAAAGTTTCTCAAAGCCGATATGTTAAATCTTCGTGCAAAGCGTTTAGAAAATACGGGTCTTCAATCAAAAGTAATTTCAAGTTAGACTTCGGTGCTCACTGTACCAAACTGCATATTAAACGTTTGCAAAATTAGCGACAACGTCCAAATCACACTTTAATATATGCAACCGTTTTAAAACTAAAGCTAATCAAAATACTATGCATTTATACTTAAATTCATATTTTTACTGTCACCAACATAAATAGAAAAATATATTGACGCGGATAGAAGCAGTTCAGTTCAGTGATCAACGGGTTCTTTAATAATTTCAACAAATTAAACTATCTAATATTGTAAATTTGCATTGTAACAATCATATGATTCAAACACTTACACAATTTAACGAAAGACTGGAGAATATTTGCGAGTTCAAAAGTCTATACGCCCACTGGCGGCTAAACTATAGCTATACTTTAACTACTCGAATTTGAGATTTATTTTGGTGATATGTCATTGTGACTTATTTTGTTCAATTCTAAGAAAATTAATAGAAAACATTTTAACAAATAAACATCATGCATGTCAAATAGCTTATAAAAAATAATTCATGCATTGCTTAATATGTATTTTTTATTACACTGGATGTACAAATAAAGTTAATTTGTATTTGCAAATGTTTGCTTCGGAATAATTTATATAGGGTTTGTTGCCGTAAATGAGATTCCGTTCTCTAGACGATTTCGTGACTCCAGTCACCGGCCTGTGTACGAGGGAGGTTTAAAAAGTCCGTGCAAACTCAGAGAGAGGGCACCACTGGTGCCTATAGAAGTGATTTTCAGTTAGTAGCATCTCTTGGAAGAACGCACCCCAAGTTTTATCCAGATCAGTTGATTTCTTTATATGTCTATTGGGATTTGCAAGGAGTAATCTTTATTGATTATATGGAAAAAGGTAAAACTATTACAGGTGCATACTATTCACCGTTATTGGACCGTTTGCAAACCGAGCTGCAAGAAAAATGTCCACGATTGGCCAAGAAAGTCCTTCTCCATCACGATAACGCACCAGCTCACAATTCAGCAGTTGTGGGTGCAACATTGATGGAAGAAGGATTCCAACTCGTTCCACATCCCCCTATTCTCCAGATTTCTCTTCCTCAGACTATTACTTATTCCCCAGTATGAAAGAACGGCCAGCGGGATTTTTTTTTTATTCAAACAAGGTGATTTGCAGAAACAAATGCCTATTTTACAGACTTGGACAATTACTATTATTAAGAAGGGATTAGTCTAAAACTAGATGACGTTCAAAAATAAAAATGATCTATCCTAAAAAAATAAGTAGTTTTCATTTTCTCACGGACTTTTCAAACCACCCTCGTAGTTATCGTTAATAGTTCTGTTTGAATGTAACTGACTAAATGATGGGTTGGTATTCGCGAGCTCAACTACCGATGGTGGCGCTGGGAAATGTCAAATTACCAGTAGTCGAGTGACAGTTGAGACTTGTCAGACTTGTTTATTTATTGAAGTTGATGAGATTTATAACATAAAACAATACGTACACACTCTTAGATCTGTTTCTATTTCTTTAAAAGCTTGGAAAAGTTTAAAAGCTTGGAAAAGAAAAAAATTTAGAAAAAAACAAATTACAATCAGACGTAAACATCAATGTCAACAAAACAAGTGTCAAATTACTAACTTAACTTGTAGTAACAATTTTAACCAGCAGGGGCGTCTGGACTTTTGAACTCGCGAATCCTTGGCAGAACTTCCATTTCCAAAACATTTTTTTATTATTTCTATTCTTTCGCGAATTGAATTTTAATTATAATGAAAGATATGCACGTTAAGTTGAAAAAACTTCAAGCCCACACTGACACTTGACGGCAACTCGTTGTTTTTGCAATATTTCAATCATTCAACAACATTTGTACAACAACAAACGCGAGAAAAATTGAAACGGTTGAAGATGGGTAGAGAACATGCTATACCAAATTCACTACAAACTTCTGGCAAGATCGAAAAATAGCTTAAAACTATTAAGTTTCCATTTGAAAATCAAAAGCGTGACGTAGTATCTTGTTCATGAAACACCCTGTATAATGATTACAGTCAGGCAAAAGGTGTTCGAGCCTTTTTTTCTAAATCTACTAGGAGAGTGTATAAGAGGGGTGTACGTCAGGAAGACACTATTTCATCTAAATTATTTACGCTGGTCTTTGAAGAAGGCTTTAAAAAATTAGAATGGGATACTAAAGGTATTAACATATATGGCACCAGAGTTAGCGACCTGAATTTTAAATTGAGGAAAGAAAACCAACACGCAGAAATCAAAAGGTGCAGCTTTCGGCAAGTTAGGGTACATTTTAAAAAACATGATCTCTATAAATCTAAAACGAAAAGTATCTAATCACATGTGTAGTGCCAGTCCAAACATACGGATTGGAAACAATTAGGCTAAAAAACATTTGCGAACAAGCTTTTATCAACACAAAGAACAATGGAAAGATGCATGTTAGGCATATCACATAGTGACAGGATTAGAAATGAAAATATCAGAGCACAAACTAAAGTTGCCGATATAATACAAGAGATGGCTAAGATCAAATGGCAATGGGCCGGACACACGGCTAGATAGCCTAGACAGATGGGCTCATAAAATTATAACGTGGAGGCTTAACAGTATAAACGTAGTATAGGACGCCCGCAGAAACGAGGGGTGGACGACATCAGGAAAGTGGCAGGCAAATATTGGTTAAACGTAGCACAGGACTGGGAGACATGGAAACAGATGAGAGAGACCTATATTCAGGAGTGAACCGCTGTGGGTTGATTATGATGATGATAGTCTTATAGTAAAGAAAATGAATAAAACAATCTTACACATTATCTCCTCTGATGATATGAAGACCCAGCATAACTTGTTCCACTCCTGTTGTTGTTGAATAGACCCTTTCATGAGATTCGTCGAGAATCATATTAATTGTTTGGTCAAATCCTTTCAAGGTTCCCTACAAAATTACACTGTTGAAAATTATAAAAATGTGCTTCATCTGAAGAGATCAAGAAATTCTTCCGTTCAAGAAACTCTCCTCCAAATGATAAGCTGGAGACGATTTAAAACACAAAGAAAAGGCTTCTTACTATAAAATTCCTTCCATCTGAGGTGATGATTGAAACAGTATCTAAAATGAATGTTAAGAAAAACCGGAAGAGACAATAAAATAATGGAAAACCTAGTAATCAAGGATACGGTTAACAAAGCTATCTAGTCCTGATGTCATTGTTTTCTAAGTAATGTTGGAAATTTGCCAGTATATACCAAAAAATTGTTTTCCCGCAATTATTAAGGCTATGTTTAGCTTAGGCATCATTCGTTTTCGGCTTAACATTACATATGAGAGAAGCGGAAGCAACTTTACCAAAAAGCGATGTTGCCAAATCGACTCTTTTTTATATTAAAGGCAAACAGCTGTGATGATTTACATAAATTAACTGTTTGCTTCCCTTCAAAAAAAACTGCATTAAATGAGGTTTATCCACTTTAAGCACTGAACTAATTAAATTTAGGACAAACTGCTACTAATAAAAATCCTTTATTTTTGAATATTAAATAAAAGCACATACATTCACTCTTTTCTATACTAAACAAATACCAATTTAAACATTAATTGTATAATCTCTGGTTCTAAAGTATGTCTTATTATAAAGTAAAATATCACTAGTTGTTAGTATAAATTTGGGACAGCATCAAGTCATTGCGTTAATTGTGTACCACCCATTATGAATGAATACTTATGATAATGTCATTATGCAATTTTTATTAAATATAGCCATAAGTAAAATTCAGTTAAAACCACAGTATTATTTATTTTTCCAACGAAATGGTGTTTTTCTGTACAAATATTGTATTCAAATTCCGTTTTCCCCAAAAAATGACACATTTACATAGTTTAATGTTAATTCATTAACATAACGTTATTCAATCAATGCAAAAAATACCTCTGAACCTGATCTAAATAAAAAAATATATATTTTTGTTGCTTGGATCAGTCAAGCAACTTATTTAGCATTTAAATGTAAATAAAATTAAAACAAGTTAATTCATATCTGCCTAAACTGAAAGCTTATTGGCTGGACAATTTACTTGTTGAACATGACAACCTCTCTCTTTGATCACATCATACAACTTAGGAGATCTAATAAGATTTTAAAAGAGATAGCACTATACATATATCAATCGTTTTCTAAGATTTCAAGTCCAAATAATTCCATTTTCTCTCACTGAATATGCACAAAATCTTTCTTTACAAATACAACCTCAATTACCCCCACAAATAAAGTGCATTCATTCGTCAATAAGCAATTTCTAATGATGCGGACATTTCGAAGCAAACATTTTCCTTTAATATCACAATATAAAGTTCCTCTCAGAACTCAAATAAAAGTGGTATCACTGGAGCAGGTATAGACAATAACTATTCTTAATACTTAAGCTAAAAGTTGTCGAATTTCACTGCTTTCAGCTGACTCAAAATATGATTTGCCATCAGGGGCTACACCATCTTTTTTAGCACCTTTCTGAAGTAACAACTCCACACAAGCTATATGTCCCTCCCAAATAGCTGCTAAAATTGGAGTTATGCCATGCTTATCCTTTGACTAAAAACAAAATATAATATAATATTTAATTCATTTGTAGACAATACGGTAATTTGAAGCTATTCATGGCCCCATCGCATTCAAAGTTAAAAATAGGGTTGTTTTGTAGATAATAATTTTACTAACAATTTTGATAGTAATGTATCACGGGAAAATGGGGATCTCGACCACTTTTTCACTTCACTTTCCTAGAATGAAAGTGGTACTAAAGTACTTTTCTACTACAATAATTGGACACTGCTAAAAAGGAAAATTGCCTGGTTTATCAGATCCCCGCGATAGAAGTTAATAATATGCTGATTTTTATATTTCTGGTATTTCATACGAAAATGCGGCTTAGCTTCTCTTTTCGCTTATTGAAATTAACTTATTTCCCATAAGATAACAGAGAACGGGGATCGGAGTATACTGACAGCCAATAGAAGACAATTATTTTGCGTTTTGCGTCTCTCTTATCTTATTCAGGCCCATTCATAAACTTGACGTTGCCGTTTGCGCTGACGATCGCCGTTAGGTAGCGTTTTGTAAACAGAAATAAATTCGTTGCGGATGTATAATCAAAGCAAATAGTACATATACAGGGTGATTCAAAATTGGCGTCATTCCTCTGGAGGTGTTGTCTGGCGCTGTTATAGGAGTACAGAAAAAATAGTAAAAAAAATTAATTATTAAAAACTGAGAAATTTCCAAAATACTATATCAGAAATACGGCAGCAATGTTTTTCAAATATTGTTGCTTCGTAATTATTAAAAACTCCGGTAACCATGGAATTATACAGAGTGACAATAAAATAGACAAGGATAAACGGTAAATTCAACAAGATTCGTTGACTGCGCAACGTACTTTCGACATGTCAACCTGTTCTCATAACCTCGAATTCTGCGGGGTTTGGTGTTTACATAAATAATCCTTACGACAGCAAACATTTGAATGGTTAACTGCAAACAAGCTAGTGCCTGTGTAATCTCCTTATTATCCACTCTTATCAAGCGGCTTCTCGTATTCAGTTAATTAACTTGTGCTCCATTTGTATCTCCTTGTGCTGTGTGTATCGTACAAACGTGGTAGGAATGTAGCCCTACCTCGGTATTTATTTGGTACTTGGGAAAGTGTCAGTTATTGTGCTCTGAGTGCCCCTGGAAGGCCCTGTTTCGATTATGCCCAATACTTGTTCATCTGTGTCTGGAACCCGAACATCGATTGTCGACCACTATCTTCCCCCTTCCCCAAGTGAGCCTATATCGCCCCTTAAAAGGAATGACGCCAATTTTGAATCACCCTGTATATATCCTTAGGAGGAAGAAATTCCCATGGACCACGGCATCAAAGCCCGAAAAACATTTCTATATCTGATTTGACCGGCCGTGAAAACCTTCATAGTCTGATAAAGCAAATAGTAGTTTTCGATATAAGGGCGAAAAGTGTCGTTTTTCGAACGTGGACGGCGTCAATCCGTCGGGAGTTCGAAAAACGGATTTTCGAGGTGGAAACCGTGTTTGCATTCGCGAGTTCAAAAGTCCACTAGCGCCTAATTTAAACTACACTTTAACTCGTAAAATTTCGATTAGATGTCATTGTGAGTTTTTTTCTTTAGTTCTACTCAACATTTGCAAGCCTTTAAACAAAGAGAAAAATATTGAAAATTATGTATTGTTTTATGTTCTAGATTTAAAAACAAAGGATAAATAAGTGATGCCAAGAAGGTATTCCCAATGTATTTGTAATTTTTGCAGTTAACAATGGCGGGCCCATCTGTGGTTGAACTAGCGAATACGTTGTATATTTTGCATGACATTTGCGCTTGTTATAGTGTTTTGCTTGTGGCCACATCGGCGAACGTAGAAAAATAGGCCATTAAAACGACTTTGAGACCGAACTTGTAACAAAGTTATAAATTACAAATTGTAAGAATATTTTAATTGTAATGCTGCCGAATAGATCGGAACTTTTTTAATGAAACATGACGTTTGGTTGTTGCATTTGTCATGTACTTGTTTATGACTTTGGGTTGACGGTATATTTGTGCTTTTCAAATAAACCATTATTCCATAAAGAATAATCAGCAAAAGCGAGACAGCATTGAGATAATTTAATACTGAAACGAGAATTTATGGCGGGTATGACAACAAAGCTCGACGGAGGATTAATGACGTGCGACCATAGTTATACAGGGTGAATCAAAGTTGGCGTCATTCCTTTTAAGGGGCGATATAGGCTCACTTGGGGAGTACGAGAAAAATATTGAAATTTTTTTTTTCGAAAATTTCTAGAAGATATTAACTGTTGAAGATCAAATTTCAACTTTGTTATTAAGCATTACTTAGAAATTGGTCCATGTTTAATTGGTAGCATATTGGAATACTTAAGCATTCAAAAAGAAAAATTACGATCTTTGCTTCAAATTACGAAATTTTTTTATATCAAAACAGTTCCCTTCTACAATTTTGTGATAAAAATCACAACGGCAATGATGTTTGCTATCATTATGCTACAGTAACATAGCAGAAGCTAAAAGAACTCACGCCAACAAAGGGCGAGGAGAGTGGTTCCAGGAAGATAGTGGAAGACAATCGATGTTCGGGTTCCAGACACAGAGGAACAAGTATTAGGCATAATCTAATTATTATGAATAATAATTATAAACAATACTCGAATCAGTTCCTTCCCAAGCACCAAATAAATACCGAGGTAGGGCTACATTCCTACCACGTTTGACCGATACACACAGCACAAGGAGATACAAATGGAGCACGAGTTAATTAACTGAAGACGAGAAGCTGCTTGATAAGAGTAGATAATAAGGAGATTACACAGGCAAGAGCTTGTTTGCAGTTAACGATTCAAATGTTTGGTGTTGTTTGGATGATTTATGTAAACACCAAACCCCGCAGAATTCGAGGTTATGAGAACAGGTTGACATGTCGAAAGTACGTTGAGCAGTCTTGTTGAATGTTGAACGAATCTTGTTGAATTTACCGTTTATCCTTGTCTATCTTATTGTCAGTCTGTATAATTCCATGGTTACTGGAGTTTTTAATAATTACGAAACAACAGGTATTTTCGTAATGTTAATTAGGCATATAACCTTGAAAAAATTGGGAAAAAAATTATTTTACTATTTTTTCTGTCCTCCTATAACAGCGCCAGACAACACCTCCAGAGGGATGACGCCAATTTTGAATCACCCTGTAGTGTACGGAGTATATCACGATACAATGAATACAAGGTAGGATCTTGCGTCGATTTGCGTGACGTCAGTGGAAGTCACTGCGTTTCGTGATTTTTTCCTCTCTGCTAAATGTGATTAAATATAGCTTATTTAGTCTTTGTCATATTTAATTATTTTTTAATAAATCTTCTTTATAATTACAAAATGCTTTGCAGCAGGTTTTAAACTTGAAAATAAAAAGTAACAAAAATGTATTTATTTTGTAGGCTAGCATAGTTGCCAGATGTGCAATAAAGTATAGCGTTTGCTTTTGGTAAGTACCCCAAAAGTTTGAATTGCAAATTCCTCTCATAATCATCATTTTTGAAATGCTGAGGGCATATTCGCACGACAAAAAGCATTCTCCCATAGCTTGGACACGTTCTACAGTAAACTTTCCAACCACCAAATGCAAAATGCTAAGTTGTTTGCCTACAAGATTCCAAACACACCCAAACGGATTCACCCCATAATTCATTGAATGATACAATGAATTAATTGTTTCGTTTGGCTCTACCCGTTTTTACGAATGACACTCTGGCAACACAGCAAGCTAAAACGCTGAAAATCAGAGATTTTGTAAATACTTTTTTAGGGTATTTTTCTTCGCACTAAGCCCAAATCAGGTTACAAACGCGATTTTAAAAGCATTGAGCTATACATTGCAAAGTATATGAGTATATAACTTTCCACTTTTGAACTATTGCGTTTTAAATTCAATGAAAATCTGTCTAGGTTACATGCATTTTAAGTAGGATCAGCTGTTCACTTTACCAAAGTGCTAACCAGTGACGTCATGTGCGCACGAAAATCGAGTTTCCGTCCGATTAATATCCTACCTTGTATGCATTGTATCATGGGAATATACTTAGTATTAGCTTTATTCGCCGTGACGATTCACAACTGGTTCGGAACTGATCGCATGCGCGAAAAAAATTAGTCGTTCTGAACCGAAAGTTCTGTCTACAGTAGGGTCTGGTTCAGAACCCGTTCGTTACGGGTTCTAGGAATTCTAGGATTAAAGGAAAGACCAGCGGTTCTGACAAGCGCAGAACAATCAAATAATTGGGTTCGCATCAGCACTAGCGCTGGTCGGAATTTTAGAGCTCCAACTCAATCAATTTTCAAAAAAAAACACTCAATTTTTCGGGTTTTCCTAAATTTCTCAGAAACTAATCATCGCATTGGGGTATTCCGATTGCTCCATTAGTTTCCAAGTTATAAACAAAAAAGACAACATTTTTTGCAATAAATTGTTAATAGCTAATATATGGACCGGAAATGCGAGTGTAAAACACTATCTATTCATCCGCTCATTATCTTTTATATCGTCGCACAATTGGTTTGCTACTAGTATTTTCACGATAAAGCATTTTTAAATACAACCGGTTCACTGCGATTTTAATGTAGACCCTATCTAATGTCGCCGCAGTGACAATCGATCGATTATTAATCCGGATATCATTATGCGGTTTGCTTTCCGAAGTGTTTGCTAGATATCATAACAAAGGTCTTAGATAGAGGAAAGTAAATTAATGCCTTGGTGGGTCTATATTCAAATTAAAAAATATTTTTCAGTTGGAGACACTTTGTCATAAGAAGTCAGTGGCGACCTTTGTAACCTTCAGTAGTGAAATTTAGTGAGTAAGAAGTGGTCAAAAACCACTCCACAAGAAACACCACTTTGAAAAGTCGTTAGTAGAACGATTATCTATAGTGAGTATATTGTTAGCTTCACACCCATGAGCTAGAGCAACTAGAAAATGACCCAAAAAACTTGTTAGTAAAAGAATATCGACAAGGTCTGCTATTTTAGGTAATAAATTCGAACGCGATTGGGCTATAAACTAGCCAATTCCGATTTTAGTTGCTATAAAAAATACTGTTCTATTTTCTATCCGCATAAATATATAGTCAGTCGGTAATTCTGATACAAAACAGCTTATATGAGATGCGCATATTGTTATAGTTTATTTTTCTAATTATTTAGACGAGTAAATCCTGCAATTTTCAAAATGTAAAAAAAATATGTTGCTGTGGGGAAAATCTGAGTGTATGGCACATTAGAACTTCACATAACATTGCATACTTCCAATTAGTTAATTACTAGTCATACACGGAATGAACTTACATTTACATCAGCTCCAACAGTAAGTAAGTACTCCATAACAGCTCTTTGGCCGTAATCTGCTGCATATAAAATTGAAGGGCGTCCATCTACTTCCTGATTAACGTCTATATGCTACGAAAAAACATTAGTAGCTCATTAAAAGGTTTAACGTTCAAGCATTTTATGCTTCAGATTTGAAGAATCAATCATGAGTCATTTGCTGAAAAACATGTAAACGTAAGGAATGATTTGTTTTATTGAAATTACCTGTTTCTCTACAATTAGCTTCACTTGTTCTAAATCTCCATTCTTGATTGCCCACACGAATTCCCTACTCATGTTTATTGTTTTTATAAATATTTAAGATATTTTACAAATAATTGGAAAAAGCAATTTGCTTCTCTGAAAGTCTGACATCTAATCTGACACTTCTAACTTTTCAATTCTCTTCTTTTAAATTTGAATTCAATACCTCCCATTCAACGATGCCAATTCGGATCTGTCAAAAAGTAAAGGACTGACCACGTTTTCGTGTTGTATAATATTATTGTATTAGGAAATACAGTGATGCTATATTAAATGAAATATTCCAAGTTTTTGCAACTACTTGCAACATTTTTACTACAACGAAATACAAACTAAAAGAAAAGAAGAAAATAAATATATTACACGAATACACATGAAATAAGAGAAATAGTAGCTATAAATTATCAAATAACGATATGGTAATTAAGAACAGCAAATCCATTTTTGCATAAGAAATTCACAAAATCCCGCATGGTGACAAGTACTAATAATAAGTGAGCACGTTAACATAAAAGAGTCTCAAAATTGTGTCCAAAAATCCTCCATACCACAGGCATGGACTGTGACCCGCGGGTGCACTTGTTGGGAAAACTAGTAATGGGGAAGACTCAACTGAGGAACGATCCTATAGAAAAAAAGAAAGAACAAAAAGAAGAAAACAGGTTAGGTTGGTCTGGCGGATTTTGTCATTTTGTGTTGGTGTAGCAGCCGCAATTTAGGGAAGTGGTCGGAAGTCTAAAAAATATCTAAATTATCTTATTTAATTTAGTTATGAGCGAATGAAATATATTGATTTTCGCTATTTTTGTTGACACAAGCAGCGACCAGAATGGTAAGCAAATTACATTTTCATTAAAATTTCGTTTGGTTGTTGAGTTTGTTTGTCGTTATTGCTCAGTTCTATTAACTCTAATCAATCATATTTTGTAAGTACTTTCATATGTATGGCCTCGTGCTTTAGCTTTGTGGCGGAGTATATTTGGAAGCTATAAAATATCGTTCAATTCAATTAATATAATTTTAGGATCAATCGCAAGGTTTTGTTGCTCCTCCAGGCATTGGAACGCCTCCACTGATGCCTCAGGTAAACGTTTTTCTTGCGATATAATGCATATCTCATAGACGCATTGATAAGTATTCTTTCTTTACTTATGTAGGTACCGATTTCTGGTATGTCCGGATTTAGCCCGATTATCCCAGCCCCATTCAGTGTGCCACCTCCAGGATTTGGTGCTCCTGCTATACCTCCTGTCTTACCTTCACTTGGCGGTTCAATCAGTGAGTGGACTGAGCACAAAGCACCTGATGGTCGAACATATTATTACAACATTGTTACAAAGCAAAGTAGTTGGATAAAGCCGGACTGTTTAAAGACACCAGCAGAGGTAAATATTAATTAAAGCACCACGGTTCATTTGCTGCAAGAGAATATGCCGTTTAAGGAAGCAATCACATGCCACTATAAATAGACACCCTCTTCGACTTATTCGTGTATGATTTTAGAAAAAAAAACCATTTGATTCAAAAAGTAAAGAGCTTTCTAAAAAATCTTAAAAAAAAACAGTTGTCTTCCGGGACTCCATTGAAGTTAATTCCACTAAATTAAAGCAGGTCTGTTTGTAAATGGTAAATATTTTTCATATCCTAATATAAAATTTCTATGGTATTGTTGGCCAAAGTTTACTTCACTAATATAATCTTAAATCGAAGAAGTCATTTCCGATTTCTCGTTGTAGCGACTTAAAGTGCACATTTTTTTATTTAAATGATATAAACAAAATTAATTTAATGCAATATCGAGCAGATAGAGTTATAATATTGTTTGTTATAGGTGGAATTGTGTCAGTGTCCCTGGAAAGAATTTACTGCTGAAAATGGAAAAACATACTATCATAATATTAACACAAAAGAATCACGATGGATTATACCACCCGAATTGGAAGAGATCAAAAAAAGGGTTACAGAAGAGTAAGTACAGAAAGTAGTAAAGTTGACCATATTTTCGGAATTTTTTTTCAAGAAACATTTTACAATGGGCCTTTTGCATTAAATTTATTTTTTATTAAAATCATACTAGAATACAAGATTTGTTGCAAATAAATACACTGCAAGAAAAATAAATCCCGAAAAATAATTTGCTATTAAATAGGCTTTCAAATCTGATCAAATTGACGTCATGCGGAAACGCCATGTGATTGGTCAGACGTCACGAGACAGGCCGGCCTTCATGTAGTCCTTGTGTTCATTTAAACGGTATCTTGTCTTTTGTTTTATGATGTTGTTTTGTTCTTATCGAACCATCCACCTTTTTCGACAATAACAGTATCAGATGTACGACTACCAAAGCCGGGTGAAATAAAGGTAATTATACCGTCTGGTCTGGAAGATATCAGATATTTTATTGTATTGCATTTTTTTATAATTAGACCACGTTAAAGCTTGTTTGATTTTCTGGCTTTTGGATTTCAATTTCTAAGCATTCTATTATAGCATAAACTTTGCTAAAACGTGTTCTAAAGGGTATCGGAAGACCATTTTTTACTTTATAAGCTGGCATCCACACTATCAAACTTCGATATCCGGTTAATTGGTTCAATTGACTGATAAAATTCTACTAGCAGTAGGTACTTGTAGAAACTCCAAAATCGTCTCCTAATTCTGCAAAACTTATCAAAGCATTTTTTTTGTAATACTAAATAATGTTTACTTAAAAATTATGTATACTTGTTACCTAATTGAGTAAATTGTTTTATCAGTTCAATTATAAATAGATTTTCTGTCATTACGTCCAGTTATAATTTTGAATTATTTTGTATTTTCATAAAAGTATGTTTCGCTATAGACTTTCGATGTCCTTCATTTACCTCAACGCCAGGCTCAGAATCATCAGACCTAGATAAAGTTGAACGATATTCTTCATTCATAGCATCACTTGAGCTTGACAATCTCGATTCTGACGATACGTATATTTTTTTTTTAATTAAAATAGGGACAAAAAACTATTGTTTTACACCGAACGAATAGCTTATATCGTTCTTAATTCTTTGTGAATAAGCTATATTTCATTTTAATTTCTGATCTAAAAAAGAAACAATTTTTCGCATGGAGTTCGCTCTCGGATTTCGATTGACACGGTCTCGGACGAGCTCCCGGTTCATGACGGTTCTGACGGTGCGCTTAATAAAGTAGCTTAAATGTGTTGAATAAAAATGAAACAGAACATATATGTAGGGTTTTTAACGGATAATCGAATAAAAACAATAAAAACTTTCAAAGTAAACAATAAACAAAACAAAATAAAAAACAATAATAACTATTCATATCACATTCATGACAATATAGTTGTCTTTTTTATTGTCACCTGGTATTATATCATATTTAAATAGATTATTTTATTTAAACATCATCATCATTATCATCATCATCATCGTATAGAAGGCGGTATAGGCCTCCTTCCGTGTGGGTTGTTGTTACGTACTATTTTGGCTAGTCTATCGTCATCCATTCTGTTTACATGCAGATTCCATTCTCTTCTTCTCTTTCTTATCCATCTCACTATGTCGTCAGTTTGGCACTTTTCTCTTATGTCCATGCTTCTCTGTCTGTGGTTCAATGTGTATCCCGTTATTGTTCTTAGGACCTTCATCTCGGTTGTTCTTTGTATCCTCTTTGTTAATGGTGTTTCCGGTCTTATCTCTGCCCCGTATGTCATAATAGGTCGCACGCATGTTTTGTAGATTCTGGACTTGCATCCTGTACTGAGGTATTTATTTTTCCATATTATATGTTTAAGATGTCCCGATATTGTGGCTGCTTTGTTTGTTTGCTTTCTCACCTCTTCCTCTAGGAATCTTGTGCTCGTTATGTTGCATCCCAGGTTTTCGAACGACATGGTTTGGTCGACGATGGTACCTTTTATTACTAGCTTACAGCGCAGAGGGTCCCTAGCTATGGTCATGCATTTGGTCTTTGTATTCCAACATGTTCTCTTAATTTAGAGTGATTAAGATAAAATGTGCTGCAGAAATGTTTTAATGTTATTGATGTAATAAATATTTTAGGTCTAAACCAAAAAGCGTGCCAGTGTCACCCAAAGAAATTACAAGCCCTTTTTCAATATCTGCTTCCATTTCTCCATCAAACTCGCCAAACGTTTCAAATTCCAGTAAGTAAATAACTAATTCATTAAGTAATAAATTGTAAAGATAGTCGTTAATTTAGCTGCCAGTCCAGGTCCAAAGAGTAACGCGATGGAAGCGGCAATGGCAGCAACATTAGCAGCAATTTCCATTCCAACTCCTCCTAACCGACCTGGTAAGTTAAACTGTATTATCAGTTTGGTACAGTATGGCTAGAATGTTAGATTCTTGATTTTGCAGAAGATGATGTGTATACGTCAAATCATTATGATCGAACTGAAACAAAACCGTCGACTCCCGAACCGAAAGTATATAAGGATAAGAAGGAGGCTATGGAAGCATTTAAAGACCTATTAAAAGATAAAAATGTCCCATCCAACGCATCGTGGGATCAGTGCGTAAAAATTATTCAAAATGATCCACGGTATGAGACGTTTAAAAAACTGAATGAGAGGAAGCAGGTACTTGCTTTTTTTATAACTAGTCTTAACCATTTTTGATTCAATACATTTTTTCTCAGGTTTTTAATGCGTATAAAACACAAAAACAGAAAGACGAGAAAGAAGAACAGAGAACCAAGGCCAAGAAGTCAAAAGAACACCTTGAAGAGTTTCTGATGAAGTCGGATAAAATGCTGTCTACCACTAAATATTACAAGTGCGATGAGCTCTTCGGTCATTTGGAGGTAAAATTTCAGATTAATTCAAAGTATGCTTTCAAACCTAGCAATAACAAGTTGTGAACTGTGTTTGATCAATCTGCCAAGCATTTAAAATCTGGTCTAAACCATATGGCGTTTGTTTAGAACTCAGATGCAAAGCTTGATTTAAACACTGTTAGGGGAATGGTCACACGCACTCCCGTTGACAACTTTCATATATCAGAACGGTTGCTTGTCGTAAAGCTGGGTTCTCATGAGTCTGGACTGCGTGGTGCAGGAAAGTCCCCTAATTTTAATATTTTCCGCTTGCCGTGCGGAAGAAGGTGAAAACCTAGGTTATCTCCAGTGAAAAGTTAATGGTCGACAGTACATCCACAGATCAGAGATTGAGTCCACAGATCACAAAGACAAAAGTTTGTTCATAGGTCACTTTCCTTGTTGGCTCGGAGCTCAAGTTGTGGAGGCACGCATTACATGCAAATGCAAACTATGAAAGCTTAGTTGTCATGGGAATGTGATAGACTTGATCTCAAGAACGACTTCTTAAGGAAAGACCCATTCATCGATCAGCAAATTTTCGGTATTTTGGAAAAAAATATCGCTGAGGTAGTCACGCTTGGAGGGGCGCCATCATGCTGATCAAATAGGTGTCTACGTACACCGAGCGGCAAATTGTCCAAATATTCGGTTTAAAAATTTTCTAAAATGTAAAAAAAATTTGTCTGGTGATCCGAAGAAGGTCTAACTTGCCATTTAAATCATCTTGATAAAAATGTAATTCCAAGACACAATAATTTCTAATTGCACAATAAACATTAAATTGTCAGTCAGGTTTCTTGAAAAATTGCTCTCTGAACACATGTAAATTTGATTTGCTCCAACAATGGGATTATGTCAACAAACGGCCCCATTTTTTTGTAAATTGAGCTCCGTCTGTCCCGATGATATTGTTTCCTTGCGACTAAGTCATGAGAAATTGACAGAATGCCACTCTGCTTGAAAAAAACGGTTCATTTAAGATGTTCATCATCATCAATTAGCCATTTGTGTCCACTGCTGAACATAGGCTTCCTCAAGGCGTTTCCACTTCGGTCTATTCTGGGCTTCTTGGATCCAATTTCCGGCAATTATCTTGATGTCATCTGTCCACCGGGTCGGCGGCCTACCTACTATCTTGTCTTGGTCTCCACACCAAAACCTTTTTTGTCCATCTGCCATCGGACATACGGCCAGCCAACCGCCACGTATGTCGTGTTATATATTTTTTTATTTCCAGTGCTTTTTGTGTTATTTGCAACTTGTGAATCGATTTCTTCGCCAGAGTAGCGTTTCTGCTCCGTAGGTTTTTACGAGCAAGACACATTGTTCGTAAACTTTCCTTTTAAGGCAAATCGGGATATTCCTTTTGACACTATGTCGAAGTTTTTCAAATTCAGCACACCCTAAGTGTATTCTCCGTTGAATCTTGCAAGTTTGATTATCTCTACCTAGTCTGATTTAATATCCCAATTATTTATAATCGAAGACTTGTTCTATTTGGTATCCGACACTTTTTAATGTTCCACAAAGAACGAGGTTTGTCATAAGTTTTGTTTTCTGCATGTTCATGTTTAGGCCTACTCTCTTTGAAGCTTCTCTCAATTCATCCAACATCATTAAAATGATCTGCAATCAGTACAATGTCATCTGCGAAACGGAGATGATAGTCTCTCGCCGTCAATGTTTACACCCCTGGTCTCCCAGCTCAGTGTTATAAAAACACATTCGAGAACTGCCGTGAAAAGTTTTGGGGAGATAGAATTCCTCTGCAATCTACAGTAACTTTTCCGTATTATTCGTTTGTGTACCGGTTTTACCTTGGAGGGCAAATATTTATTTTTTGCCATTTGAGATGTTCTTTCTGAGTATCTTCATGCTTTTATTTTCTTCTATAGTTTGTGTAATATAGTAACTATCATCATTGAACTTTCTTAAATAATTTCTCACTTCCTTGGATATATCTTTATTCAAGCTTCTCAGTTGCTCTCGGATTTCTTCTTTCGGCAGTTCTCGTCTGAACCTCATGAGGTGTTTGGTACTTTGTCGAAGCTTGTGATCATTATTGTCTTTTTTCTTACAATATCGATTCTCTGCACGCTTGATTGCATTTAGTATGGTGTTGTTTACAGCTTCGATATCATTTGCGTCAATAAGGGTTTTGTCCAAATTGGCTGATACTGTTCTTAATATCTTTATTCTTATTAATTTACCTTTAAAAAACCTTAATTCTGAATATAATCTGATAAAACTCTCCTTTTTTTTCTTTTCTTTGACACCATTATGATATTCTTATCTTTCCAGAGTCTCAGTCAAAGTTTATTGTTATTGTTTATAAATGAAATAAACGATATTCAAAATTTTTACTTCACACTTTGACTGAGACCCAGGAAAGATAAGAATATCACAAGTACACGCAGTCAGGAAAATAAATCAGAATTTGCCACCATTTTATGTCCTTCCTTGGCAAGACTTAATTCAATTTTGGCTCTGACCAGTCTGTGATCGATGGTAGTATGAAATCTTTGTAGTGTTCCTATCTGGGCTCGTCCATGTACTGGGTGTCCCAAGAGTAATGGCACAAAACAAAATGGTGGATTCCTGGGGTGAAAATATGATGATTTAACACAACTTACCTTAGTCCGAAAGTTGACGGTTGCCGACCTACTGGGCGTCAAAGTTATATTTAAATTTCAGTTTTTCGTTATTCTACTTTGAACGGAGCTGCACATTTTAACGAAATTTGGTATACAGGGGTTTTTGAGCATAATAAATCCAAATCTATCATCAGATTTTGATCAACTTGTAGAAAAAAACCACCTACGGCGATATCTGGGCAAAAAAATTGTGTCATCTTATTGGTCACCCGGTATTCTGACTTCTAAGTTGGTTGGGTCAAATCGCCTATTAATTTTGCACAAAAAAGGTATTCTTAGTCGATGTCCCAACAAGCCTCTGTTTTCGAGATATTTGCGATTACACCGCAAAATGCAGTATTTTCAAAAAGAAGCCACGATAAGTATCTAAGTAAAAAAATATTCACTAAACATCATTCTTTAACAGTAGGATCTTTTTATCATAATCACTAACAATGAAACGTTCATTTTCTACTGCAATTGCTCAAAATGTCCCCCGTTAACTTCAATACATTTTGAAATGAGTTTATTGAGGAATCGTCTAATTTAAAATAACATATTTTTATTTTGA